CCCCAAAACCCCAAAACCCCAAAACCCCAGCTTATATAAAAAGAAGTTTAAATAAAGATAACTGTAAATTTAATATAAATTTGAATTCAAAATTATGGAATCAATAGAAATTTCAATCCTAGAATAGTCAGAAATTACTGCTGTTTAGAACTAATTAGAATTATTAACTACTGAAAATAGCACCCTTTAAAACAATAAGGAAAATTAAAATTATTAGCATGAAGAGTAATCCTAGCTTTAGTAGAATAGCAATGATTAAAAGTAATTATAAGAGGAAAAAAAGATCAAAGATAACGATGTTGGCGTATTATTAGATTTTTCAAATTCATTCAAGCAAAGCACAAGAGCATTTAAAGGGAAAAAGAAGCCTTAACTAAAAGTTTAACCTGTTGAAAAATTGATGGATGAATAGGAAATTATTGATACAAATAAATCTGATAACGTGAATGAAAATTTTGACTTAGAGGACAATAATTTGCTTCAAGAAGATAATGCTGCTGTTGAAGAGATTCCCAGAAATTTAGATATTACACAAGCTGATATGAATGAGAGAAAGTTTATGGATATGAGAAGATGGTTCAGCATGGCGAGACCTCAACACCCGAAATCTTGCGGAATATCCTCATTAACCTCATGCTGGAATTATCTTTACTCTACTCTTGGAGTTGGCAATCATAGACCTATTTCAACAGAGGAGGCATTGGAAGTTTTGGGATTCAAGCCACCTTACAAGAATGTTGACTTTGGTTCATTCACTGGAAATGATACTCTGGTCTAATGGTTCGCATTATTAAACAAATATTTTAAAGTTAAAGGACAAGCAAAGATTGCTTGGAAATTACATGGAAAGACCAGAACTCTAGGGATTGATAAGAATTAGGCTTTAGACAATTTAATCACTGGCTTGAAAACAACAAATAAGGCTTACATTTATCACTGCTGGAATCACTATTTCTGCCCTATTGGGTTTGAGAAGACCCCTGTTCATCCTTATGATGCTTACAAAAAGTTTTCTGAAATAGAGGTCTTTGATGCTTGGATTATTATAGGTGAGGTCTCAAAGTGCTATCCAGTCTTTCATGTGAAAAAATGGGATGATATTGCTACTGACATTGATTGTGCCTTTCCTAAATTCTTTAACATCAGAAAAAGCGAGCTTGGAATATAGGAGAAAACAAGCAAGGCATTCACAGAAGGTTCTAAATAAGGAGGAAACCTCCACTGTCTAATTGAATTTGAATCATTATAAGAATGAAAGTATAAGCTCACTAATATGCTTTTATCTGATTTAGTTATCATTTTATCTTTGGAATTAACTTTTGATTATAATTAATAGATTGAAAATATTTAAAAATTTACTCTAAAGGGGGTTTTGGGGTTTTGGGGTTTTGGGG